CGGTCGTGGTCGTGGTCGTGGTCGTCATAATCGCCACCATCGAATATATATATATATATATATATATTACTATTCGCATACCAAATGCGCCCGTGGAATACCAACAACTAGACATGCTCAAAATAATATTTGTCTGGAAAATCCGCTCTTCGAGCCATTTTACTGGGTTGCCAGCGGTTGTTGTTTCCCCCCCCGTTCTGCCTCACTTTGGGCTCCCCCTTGGTTCTCGTTGGGCTTCCTCTTGGGTCCCTTTTGGCTCCCTCCTGGCTTCGTGTTGGCTCCCTGGCAGCTCAAGTTTGGCTCCCTCTTGGTTCAATGTTGGTTGCTTGGTGGTTGCCTTTTGGCTCCCTCGTTGCTCCCTCTCGTCTTCATTGTGGCTCCCTCTGGGAAACCTTTCGGCTCCCTCTTGACACCCTCTTGGCTGCGTATTGGCTCCGTGGTGGCTCTCTTTTGGCTCCCGTTCGGCTTCCTTCGGGTTCCCTCTTAGCTCCCTTTGGGCTTTCTCTTGGCCCCCTCGTGGCTCGTAATTACTTGACTTGTGGCTTCCTTTTGGCTCCCGCTTGGCTCCCTCTTGGCTTCCTTTTGGCTCCCTCTTGGCTCCCTCTTGGTTGCCTTTTGGCTCCCTCGTCGCTCCCCTTTGGCTCCCTTTTGGCTCCACTTTGGCGCCCTCTGGGCTCCCTTTTGGTTCCCTGTTGGCTCCCTCTTGGCTCCGTATTAAGCTCTGGCGTGGCTCCCTTTTGGATCCCTCTTGTCTCCCTTTCGGCTCCCTCTTGGCTCCTTCTTGGTTGTCTTTCGGCTCCCCCGTTGCTCCCCTGAGTCTTCCTCTTGGCTCCCTTTCAGTTCCCTCCAGGCTCTCTTTTGACTCTTCCCTTGGGTTCCCTTCTGGCTTCCTTTCGGCTCCCTCTTGGATTCCGTTGGGCTCGCTTTTGGCCCCCTCTGGGCTCCCGTATCGCTCACACTGTTGGTTGGCCCTGCTCCCTTTCGGCCCCATTTTAGCTCCCTGGGAGACCCGGAGCCCTGGCGGCTGCCTTCAGATTGAAAGGTTGAGGGGATCATTGCAAACGATTCCATGTTGCAATCGTTCAATCCAGAATCTCTGGATTCAAAGATCTTTCAATGTTTAAACGTTTCGATCGGGGCTCCCCGGATTGAACAGTCTTTCAATATCTGAAAGAGCGTGTCCTACCGCTGCTGGCGGAAGACCGGGGGGGGTCACTGGGGGTTCCCACCCCCCCCCTCGAAAACCGGGAGGGGCCACTACCTTTTCGAACCCCCCCCCCTCCCCTCCCCGTCCATCATGAAAAAGAGGGGGGTCACTACCGGTTCTAATCCCCCCCCTCGCCGCCGGCAAACGATGCCCGCTCCTCGGAACAGTTGGACAGTGGTGGGGATACTGGGACAGTGGTGAGGACGGTGTTGGTGGGGACAGTGGTGTGGGGACAGTGGGACAGTGGTGGGGACGGTGGTGGTGGGGACAGTGGTGAGGGGACAGCGGGACAGTGGTGGGGACCGTGGGTTAGTGGTGGGGACGGTAGTGGTGGGGACAGTGGTGAAGGCGGTGGTGAGGACGGTGGTGGGACAGGAGTACAGTGGGGAGAGTGGTGGGGACAGTGGGGACAGTGGGACAGTGGTGGGGGCAGTGAGACAGCACAGTGGGACAGAGGCGGGGACAAAGGGACAGTGGTGGGAACAGTGGGGACAATGGGGAGTGGGACCGTGGTGGGACAATGGTGGAGACAGTGGTGACAGTGAGATACTGGTGGGGGCACTGGTGGGGACAGCGGGGACAGTGGTGGGGACAGTGGGAACAGTTGGACAACGGTGGGGACTGAGGGACAGTGGTTGGGACGGTGGTGGTGGGGACAGTGGTGTGGGGACAGTGGGACAGTGGTGGGGACAGTGGGACAGTGGTGGGGACAGTGGTGGTGGGGACAGTGGTGAGGGCGGTGGCAAGGACGGTGGTGGAACAGTGGGATGGTGGGGACAGTGGTGTGGGGACAGTGGGACAGTGGTGGGGACAGTGGGCTCAGTGGGACAGTGGTGGGGACAGTGGTGGTGTTGACAGTGGTGAGGGCGGTGGCGAGGACGGTGGTGGGACGGTGGGACAGAGGTACAGTGGGGACAGTGGTGGGGACAGTGGTGGGGACAGTGGTGGGAACAGTGGGACAGGTCAGTGGGAGAGCGGCGGGGTTGGGGACAGTGGTGGGAACAGTGGGACAGGTCAGTGGGACAGCGGCGGGGACAGTGGGGCAATGGGGACAGTGGGGACAGTGGAACTGTGGTGGCGACCGTGGGGAAAGTGGCGAGAGTGGGACCATGGTGGGAACAGTGGTGGGGACAGTGGGGACAGTGCGACAGCGCTGGGGGCACTGGTGGGGACAGTGGGGATGGTGGTGGGAACAGTGGGGACAGTGATGGTGGGGACGGTGGTGGTGGGGACAACGGTGGGGGATGTGGTGCGGACGGTGGTGGGGACCCGGGAGTCGCTTGCCGGCGCAGAGTGGGGGGGGGTCGAACCGGTATAGTGACCCCCCCGGTTTTCTGGAGGGGGGGAGATGGGGGGATGGGGTTTGAACCCGTAGTGACCTCCCTCGGTTTTTTGGATGGGGGAGGGAAGCGAGGGGGTTCGAACCGGGGGGGAGGGGTTTGCCGGGGGAGGGGGGGTGGTCCAGCAAGTGGGGGGATTTTCGAAGGGAGGGGGGGGAACCCCGGGTTCTGGAGGAAGAGGGGGGAATTTTCCATAGTAAAACGGCGGTGGATCACGCTCTCTCCAATATTTCAATCCTGGCCCCCCGATTCAAAGATCATTCAATCTCTCAGTCCAGGACCCCTGGAATGAAAGATCTTTCAATATTGCTTTATAATTTCAATATGTCCATCCCTTCCGACATAACCAATATCTGAATGTCTTAATTCAAGCGATATTTCAATATCGCCCCAGTCCTCTCTGCGAAAAGCAAACCCATATCCAGGACACACCCTGGTGAATGTCTTGCGCATGCCAACAATCGTCAGAACACCGAAACTAGCTTGGCACTGGTTGTGGTCGATGTGGGCGTCCCAGGACGGCCAATCCGACCACAACCACAACCAAAGTATTGATGTCGAGATCGGTGGGTTCTCCCCCGAGGGGCCCATCAGAAAAATCCACTTCGTTGTGGCTGTGATTCTTGATTGTGCCCAGATCGAGGCCCCCGCGCTGATAGAATCACGACGCCGGAGGCTGTGGAGCGAGGGCCTCCGGAGACTGTGGGAGGAAGCGCTGCCTGGCCGTCTCCCCTCTCGGACATCTCGGGTTGGACGAAGGGATGGGGGGCAAAGAAATGGGGGGGGGACTGGCATAAGGGGGGGACGCATCGACCTGGAATCGGCGCTACATCGCCGATAGATCGGCGAATTAGGCCTCCGATCGTGAATCCGCACGTTCCTGGGCATGATGGGGCTCGTGGGCCCCTATCGGCGATCAATGGGAGGTTGGGAGTCGACTCATCCCCCCTATTCGGACGGGGCTAGAACGAGAATTCGCCGTCCCAACGGGCCAGAGGCGTGCTAAGATCTCCGGAACTGCTCTACAGTATTTCTACTTCGCGCGCGGGGGGCGGCCCCTGGGGGTCCCCGGAGGAAAAGTCCTCCAGCAGGGTCGGGTCAGAGATGGTTTTCCGTCTGGGCGTTGCCCTCGAGACCCTCCAGATAGCCCCGAGAAGAGTCAAGAGGCCTCCTAGAGGCCCCCAAGATGGCCCCCAGACGCCCCAAGTGGCCTCCAAGAGCACTCTCAAGAGGGCCCCAAAATGCAAAAACCATTGCTTTTCCTTAGGTTTTGGACAGATGTTGGTGCTTCCACCTTTTCGGCTTCCCGACGCCCCAAGACGGCCCAAGAGGCCTCCAAGATCGCCCCAAGAGGGCCCCAAGACGGCCCAAGAGGGCCCCAAAACGGCCCAAGAGGCCTCCAAGACGGCCCAAGAGGGCCCCTAGAGCGCCCCAAGAGCGGCCCCAGAGGGGGAGCAAGAAACAACATGTCGAGCCCTCGGTCCTGAGAGACCTCCAGGAAGCCCCAAGAGGCCCCTAAGAGGCCCAAAGAGGCCCCCAAGAGTCTTCAGGAGGCCCCCAAGACGCCCCCAAGAGGCCCACAAGAGGCTCTAAGAGGCCCCCAAGAGGCCTCTTAATCCTTTCCAGAAAACTCTGAGAAGGCCGCGTCGTCCGATTCCTCCTCCAAAGCCGCCAGATCTCAGAGATTCTGCATGTAGCCTCACCCGGTGTTATGCTCGTCCTGGCTTCGCCTGACCTGTGCCCATCCACCCCCTATCGTTGCCCCTGGAGGGCTGAAGGGAAAAAAGAAACGGGGGTCGAAGCCGAACTCGACGGCAACAAAGACGCGCAGGGTCCTCCCGTGCGAACCTCCGCCGCCGCTCCGCCGGGGCCGGAGGGTGTAATGCTGCCAGAGTTGCGCGGTCAGCGTGCGAGCAAACCGGCGGCGTAGCTAGAACAATTGGGCGTCGCTTAATGGGGGGGGCGATGCATCGCCGATGCGGCCCGATCCTCCGACCCCATCTAGTCGGCCCCATTTGGGAGACCTCGACTCAAGCAACTGGTCTTCTGGGCGCCAAGCGGGGCTGGAGGTGCCAATGTATCGAGGCCGAAACCGATTGCATGCAGCAGATGTCGTGACCCTACCTTTCTGGATCCCCTGGTTTCGTCCGAACCAGATAACATTGCAGAACATGGCAAAACAAATGCGGGAATCGCTGATGCCGTTCATAGATGTTTCAGCTTGCGCTCGGAAACCGATATGCCGACAAATCAGCCATCGCACATACGCAGCCGACTGTGACGCATGGAATGGCTGGAACGTTTCTCCTCCCAAGATTTCGACCTGAAACTCGAGATGCTTACAAAGATGTAGAAACGTACGTTGAGAAGCACGCAACGGACTCGTTAATTCTCAGCTTCATATCGTCTGCCTCCTCGAGCATCAATTCTGGCAAGGTTTGCACCCGCATGTCCGACACGTTCACGAGGATGCGCGGCCGCATCGTGACGCGCTGGAAAGCCATGTGGTTGTCGCGGAGGGTGATCTCGTCATCACCGCCGCTGGAGTAGTAGCCCCAGGCCTGGCGGACAAGGACGACGAAGAAGAAGGGCGGCAATAATGTGCTCTGCTGCAACCAGATACGCAGACCGATGAGTCCAGTCGCGAGGCCGTGGTTACGGATACCGCATCAAGAACGCTACGCCAGTAACGAAGCTAGTTTTTGGCCCCGAGAGCGCCTGTGTACAAGAGCAGCCCTAGAGGAGCAAACATGAAAGGTAAGGTCAAGAGATAACAAACTGCTCTCTCTCTCTATATATATATGACCCCCCCTGGGGATAGTTAAAGTCCAGGGTCCAGGGAAGGTAATAAACGTTTCCCTGGAGATCTCAGCACAACGGGCCAGAGGCGTGCTAAGATCTCCGGTAACTGGTTAACAATTTTCTAGTTCGCGCGCGCGGGGCGGCCCCTGGGGGTCCCCGGACGAAAAGTACCCCGACCAGGTCCCGGCCGGGTCCCCCCGAGCGCTCCATGAGCGCACCAACAGGGCTCCGAGACGTCCCCGAGAGCCCCAAGAAAGGCCAAGAGGCCCCCAAGAGGCCCCCAAGATGGTACACGAGGGGTCCGACATGCCACAAGATCGCTCCAAGACGCCCAAGATAGCCCCCAGACGCCCCAAGAGGCCTCCAAGAGCACTCCCAATAGGGCCCCCGGAGGCAAAAATCATTGTTTTTCCATAGGTTTTTGAGAGATTTTGGAGCTTCCACCTTTTCGGCTTCCCGACGCCCCAAGACGGCCCAAGAGGCCCCCAAGATCGCCCCAAGAGGGCCCAAGAGGCACCCAAGAGGGCCCCAAGATGGCCCAAGAGGGCTCGAAGACGGCCCAAGAAGCCTCCAAAACGGTCCAAGAGGGCCCCAAGAACGCCCCCAAAGGGGCCCCAGAGAGGGAACACGAAACAACATTTCGAGCCCTCGGCCCTAAGAAGCCCCTACGAGGCCCCTAAGAGGCCCCAAGAGGCCCCCACGGGGCCCTCAGGAGGCCCCCAAGAGTCCCCCAAGCGGCCCCAGAGAGGCCCCCCAAATGCCCCCCCCCCCAAATGCCCCCCCGAGCGCCCCAGGAGTCCCCCAAGCGGCCCCAGGAACCCCCAAAGCGCCGCATTGACACCAGGCCCTCGGGCAAACGGCAGACATGAGACTGTATGGGCCGGCGGAATGAGCGAAGCGATTAAATAAACGTTTCCCTGGAGATCTCAGCACAATGATAAAGATGATGACGATGATGATCTTGGACGCTGTACAGAAATCCATGGGAAATCCCTGGCATTCCTTCGGACATTCATGGGATGCCTTCGGAAATCCTTTGGAATCCTAAGGACATATACGTGTGATCCCGTAGGGCTCCTTAAGACATCCATTGGATTCCCGAGGACATCTTTAGGATTTCTTAGGACATCCAGAAAGGATTCCTTCGGACATCCATTGGGTGTCTGAGGAAAACCATGGGATTCCTCACGATATCATGAGAGTTCATCAGAAGTTCCATGGGATACTTAGGACATGCATCGGATTCCCAAATACATCCCTCATATTTCTTCGGAAACCCGATAGGATGTCTTAGGACATCCATGGAATTCTTTCGGACATCCATCGGATTCGTGAGAAAATCCGTAGGACTCCTTACGAAATCCATAGTGTGCCTTAGGACATATATTGGGATTCCTTAGGACATGGAATTCCTTAGGAGATGCTTGGGATTCCCTGGGCAATCCATCGGACTCCTGAGGACATCAGAAGGAGGAGGAACACCAGGACCAATGTTCCAAAACAACTTCGATTCGGGACCTGAGGCTTTTTATGTGTAAAACGCGATAATGTGTAATCGATTCAACAGTGCATGTGGGAGTCCATGGCGGCTCTTTTCTTACATGTATATATATATATATATATATTCGTTAGAGAAGCAAGAAGGAGAAAAAAAGAAAAGAAAAAAAAAACATGAACACACGGGAATACAACCAATTCGGGTTGGGCGCGCGAGGAGGAGGAAGAGGATACCTTAGGAAACCCGTCGGGTTCCTCAGATAATCCAGTGGACGCCTTAAAATAGTGCATTGGATCCCTGGTGGGCTCATAGGATACGACATCCATCGGGTCCCTTAGGACATCCATAGGATTCCCTAGGACATCCATAGGGTTCCTTTGGAAATCCATCGGGATCCCGAGGAATTTCATAGGACTCCTTATGACATCCATAGGAATCCTTAAGACGTCCATAGGCGATCCGTAAGAATTATTAGGGACCTTTACTACTCAACAGAAGAGGATAGCAACGTCGATTCACAACTTTCCCCCGCGATAATCAAGTTCGGCCTTGCCACCCCTCTTCCACAACCAAATCTGCATTGGCCAAGGATATTGACCTCTCAGGGGTGAAGGGGGGGTATAATGCTTATCAGGGGGAGTGGGTTACTCCTGGGGTTGTCAAAGTGGCAAGATCATGTAAAATAGCAGCTCGCACTCGACTACATAATGCCCCTGCGCAGGTACTGAGCCTGACATCAAGTCTTCAGGAGCGGTGGTCAGGGCCCCAGCTTAGGAACGCCCCCGGGGGCCTTAAGGCAACCAAAGCGGGGAGATCCCAAGGCGCCCCCTTGGCCACCATCCTAAATCCAGTCAGAAAGTGCAGTACTGCAACGGAGCGGAGAAGAGGAGAAACAAAAAACATTAGTCCTCCACTCGCCAACTCAAGCTTGCCTCACTGCTCGCAAATATCAATCCAAATGCGTGATGCACGATGCCCACTGGAACTCACCCTTCGGCGGCCTCCTCCCAAGACCAGGGCAGGATACCATCCGAGTTCGATTCGCTAGGGACTGGTAGCGCATTCTCCTCAGCGAAGAAGAGGCGCCATGAAATCTGGGGAGACATCATTCGAGGAATGAACAAACGCTCCTACCCTGGGTTACAAATGTGTGGCCCGCAAACCTCCTGGGAGCTCCCAAAGGCCGGAGAGCCGCCAGGAGGCCGCGCGGCACGAGCGATACGCAGAGTTTACCCTGTCAGCCCACAGGAGGTTCAGCGCACAGCGCCTCGTAAACCAGGGTAGGGGCGTTGTTCACGCCCTTGAATCATGGCCCACGCCATGACTCCCCCCGCCCCTAGGCATCACCCCCCCTCCTGGCCGCCTCCGAAGAACCCTCTCGGCAAGACTCCCTTGGGCGACAGCGGCCCAAGACCCCACCGCGGCGGGCGCAGGCCCACACGGCAGGCGGCCGCGCGATCCGCCTCGAGCATCGAACGACAATGCAATTCGGCAATCCACCTGTCGGGCTGGGCGAGGCGATCAACCTTGATGGGCCTGTTTTCCACCATCACCACCATACGTTGGAGGGGGAGGAGGAGGACGACGAAGAGGAGGAGGAGGTGGTGGAGGAGGACGAGGACGAGGAGGAGGAGGAGGACGACGAGGAGGACCCCCGCCCCCTCCAACTCATGGTGGTGGTGGTGGTGGAAAACAGCCCATCAAACCTCCGATTGGGGAGACGCAAGACTCGGGTACGGGGGACTCGAGTTGGCCTGACGGGGCCAACATGAAAATGACGAGACCCGATCTGAAATCTGACGCGGCCTCCCGCTGCAAACATCCCACGAGCACCAGACCGTCAAAATCCAGGACGCGCTCGTCGAAAAAACATCGGCAAATCCGAGTTCTGGCATACTCGAGTCTTCCGTTTCCCCGATCCGACTACAGCGAATTCACTGTATGCTTCCCGCCAGCGAAAGGTGTGCGAGGAGAGTAGCGTCCAGAAACACGGCGCCTTACTCTTGTCCCGACCCTTTCCCCGGGCCGGGCTTGTCATCCCAGAGGCCCCTCTCTGACAGCCCCCGGGCCCGGCGAGGCCTCCCTCGAGGCCGACAACCTGAGAAAAAACTGTTCTTCCAGTGCGCTGGAGGTCTGGGCTCTGGGGCACAACTGGAGCAGCCAGCGGCCGTCCGGGACGATCCAGGCACCCGCGGCGAGGCGCAGCTGCCGGCACGCGCCCCCAGGAGGGCGCCTCGCTCGTGCCACGAGGCGGAGGCGGTTGCGGCCGTGGCGTGCCGGCCCCGCCCGCTGCTGCCCCAGAGACCCAGCCATCGCGCGCGCGCAGGGCCCTCAAGCGACCCCAAGGGTCGCGCCCAGCGCCCGGCGATATGCGGTCACCTTCGCGCCCTCGCGCCGCGCATTTTTTTGGCGACAGACGCATCTGCGGACCGCGACGCGCGTCGCGCGACTATCTTCGCGCCCCCGCGGGGGACGTACAGAGAAGGTGAACAAAAAACTAGAGGTCGAAACTTCACTGCAGCGTCAGTGGCCAGGGCTAGAAAACTGGCATGTGTTGAAACGCACCAGACAAAGTGGGATGAGGTCGCCAGGGTTGTAAAACTACTACAGAAACTTGGGAGGAATGGAATTATTGGAAGGGCTGACCCAAGCCAGTTTTCCCAGCGTCCCTGCGGAACAAGAGAAGGGCGCAAATTCGATTGGAGGTCCCCTGGGACAGCCTCGCGACCTGCCGCTCTGGCAGGAAGCAGGCGAGAGGGATGAAATCGCAGATTGCCATGGAGGGGCAGAACGCCGAACGCACCCCTGCGCGGCGATCGGTCAGCGCGGATTTCTTAGATCAGCGCTGGAAATGCACCCCCCTCCCTGGCGCTTGCGGGCGCCAGGGGCGGCGACGGAGGCGCCGCCATAGGGGGCCCAGCGCCGACTCAAGAAATCCGCGCGGGCATCCAGAAATTTATGCTTACGGCAAGTGCGTGTCGTGGCGACTCCATTATTGGCTTCTGACGCCGCGTGGATCGTTCGAGCTTGAACGATCGGCGGGTCCGTCGGTCGCGAGATCGTTCCATATGGGCCGACTATGGGAAAACAACGGTGCTCAACCTCGAACGCCCGCGCTGGAATCGCAACCGCTTCGACACGACACAAACCTCCCGGACGAAGTGGTTAGAAGCACAAAGTAGTAAAGCGTCGAAAGTCTGTTGAGTTTCCGCCTGCCCCCTCAAGAGGGATGCAAAACGAAAGGAAAACAACAAGATGGCATCGAAATGGCAAGGCGCCTAAAACACATTGGAACATGGAAATCAACGGACTCCTGATTTCAAAAACCCATGGGTTTGTTTATGCCGTGTGTTCTGATTGTGTGGCTTCTGGGGCGTTGGGGCTTAGAAGTTCCTGGAAACGCTGTGGGCGTGACTTGGTGTCTATCGGCGTTTCTTCCACATGTTTTGGACGCCGGTTTTGTCACTTCCCAAACCTGAACGGGCCCAGGGACACACAAATAAATACACACAAATCCCAGGGTTCTCAAATTTTACAATCTTTTCTGGATGTCTGTCTTCCCCCCCACTTCCCATATTTTCCCATATTTTCCTGGTAGTCGACGATTAATTGTGCCTGTGTGTCTTTTCCCCTCCTGACACTTCTCACTTCTCAGGCCCAGGATCCGCCCGTGGCCCTCCTGCGGCAAAGGGGGTTCCACGGGCCGATCCCTGACCTGAGATAGCGAAACCGTAGGGGTACTACCATTAGGTCGGGCCTGTTCCCCTACAAGGGGGATTTGGGACGAAACATAAAAAATACACCACACGTGCGCCAAAAATAACCAGAAATGGTCACAACGTCGTCGCTGGAATATGTTTAAACTGTTTTTGAATTTTCCCATGCAGGGGGACAGGCCCGACTTAACACTTGAAGGCGGCTGGGAGGTGCGAACTGGATGAACCCACGGGGAACTGGTCACCAGGGTGGGTGAGGGCCAACTCGCCCAGTCGGTCCCAGGACCCATCTGGAGGACGAACAGCCAGGTGTCCTAGCCGCCTCCAGCCGTGGCGACGAGGGGCCCTGCTCCCCCCTCTTCCACGGGCCCGAAACAGTGCCATGGCGTTTGAAACAGAAACGAAACATTTTCTTCTTCGCCACGGCTGCTCGGCGCCACGGCCCGTGGCGTCGGAAAACGAAGCTTGCGCAATCCCCCAAACAGTGTCGTTCCAAGCTGTCGCCCGCGAAAACAAACACAAACGGCCGCGCGCTGGCGCCCGAAGACAAACCGAGACAACGAAAACGGCGTGCAAAAGTAACAAGACACTTTTTTGACCCGCGCCCTGACCAGTGCTGGGCCACATCAGCCCCTTAGCCGGCTCCAACGCCGGGGTCCCTGCCGCCCGCGTCGGGCCTGCGACTCCATGACCTCCCGGGCGACCGACTCGAAGTCGAACGTGTTCAGCATCGCGGCGAGCGGCGGCTTCACGAACTCCTGCGGGGCTGGTCAGCGCGTTCGCCCACGCGTGATTGGCGGCGAGCGAGGGGGGGGGGAGTCAGAAGGAGACGGCCTTCTCAGAAGGCTCGGAAGTCCCCCCGGGCCTTCTGAGAAGTTGTCCGAGCCCTCCCCGATGGCAGAGAAGACTTCTCAGACGGCGCGAGGGCTTCTGAGAAGTCCCGCCCGCTTCTGAGACGGCCTTCTCCCTCTCACTTCCCCCCCCCGCTCGCCGCCGATGTGAGCAAAAAGACAGCGACACCACCACCACCACCACCACCACTTGCGCGAGGCGCCACGGGTGCTGCCCCGCCCCCCCTCGCCCGAGCCACCCCCATCCCCAACTCGGGGAGGCGGGGCCTCCTCGCTGGAGTCGGCGCGCCGAGGGGGCGGTGGTGCCCCCTCTCTTTGATCCGACCCATCAGGGAGCAAGCACCCCCAGCTGCGGGGGTGCAGAACCAGTCAGCACCGAATCGGGAAATCTAGAGGGTAAACAATCCACCCCCATAATAACCACCCCGACACGCGAAGCCGTTTAATCAACGCCCCCACTGAAGGAATCGAACAGGGCAGAGCTGTTTAATAAACGCCCAACGCCGTTTAATAAACGCCACTTGTCCGGTCTGAGTGGTTTTCCCTCCCTTGACAATCGGATCGCATCGGAATGTGCGTCGGATGGGATGAGGCTGCATCGGCATGGAAACGAGATCGAATCCGATCGGCTGCGCCAGTATGGAAGCGTTGTGCCTCCCTCGCCCTGGTGGGCTGCGCCCTCGTGCGTTGTCAGGGCCCTCTTCCCCGCGCACCTGGTCAGTGGCCCTCCTGGGGCAGGGTGCCACCGGCTTTCCTCTGGTCAGGGGCCCTCCTGGGCAGTGTGCCACGCGCTCCCAAAGCAAGAATCGCAAGCCCTACCAAGGAAGGTCGGCGGAAAACAAAAAGGCGCTGAAGATGACGACGACGACGCCGACGCCGACGCCAACGCCGACGCCAACGTCGACGCCGTCGACGACGACCGAAAAGCACGCCCAAGCCGACGACAAACGACCGCTGCCCCTAGACGGAGGGCCACGCCATCCAAGCACGACTCCCCCCCTCCGGTGGCGCAAGCAGGAGAGAGCTCCCTAAAGAGGCCATGAGCGGAAAGGGTTCAGTACGATTCCTGCGTTCGTCCAACTTTCCTGCCAATCACGCCCGCAGTGGAGGGGAGAGCAGAACACTGCCACGAAAACATCGGGCCGCATCGGGTCGTCGGAACATCGTAGTCGAATCGGATCGTGGCTGTCAGGGCCGATAACCCCGTACCCCTGATAATAAACCCCTGGGGATGAAACAGTTCGGGGTCTGGGGGGGGCAATAGCGAGGGGGCAAGTGAAAGGAGAGAACCCTCTGAAAAGGCGGCGGGGCTTCTCAAAAGCCCGGGGGATTTCCGAGCCTTCTGAGAAGGCCCGCCCCGTCTCATTCCCCCCGGGCTGGCCGACCCTACACCCATCAACCAAACACTATCCTGAATCGCTGGGAGGCGGGAGTAGGTCTAGGATTTCGCAACGTGTACGACGCATGCCGAACACTACCCCCGTTGCACATCGAGTTGCCTGCATCGTTGATCGGCGAGGTTGGGGCTCGGATTACGTCACCGAAGAAATCTCGCCGCAGGGGGGGTGGGCGTCTCCACGATCTGCGCCTCGCCGTCCGCGACCGCCGGCGCCGCCCTCTTCGGGGCGGGAGCCGCCTTCTCCGGCGGCTTCGCCTTGTGCTCCTGCGCGGGCGTGGGCGCAGCCGCGGGCACGCCACGCTCTCGGCCGCGGCGGCGACGTCGCCAGCGGCCAGGACTGGTTCTCGGACCCCGAACTGGGGCAACTACCTTCGCTGATGGGCCTGTTCTCCACCACCACCACCACCATAAGTTGGAGGGGGAAGCAGGTGGAGGAGGAGGAGGAGGACCCCTTCCCCCTCTAACTTATGGTGGTGGTGGTGGAAATCAAGCCCATCATTCTCGCTTCGCGCTCCGCGAATCGCGATCATCTTCTCGCTTCTGCGCAGCCGCCCCCCCCAGGAACAGGATGAGGGACGACTCGCGCCTCGCCTCGTTCTGATGCCGCCCAGGCCGCGAAGCGCGACTAGCTTCGCACCCCTGGGGTGGCCTTAGCCACATGGGCGGCGACCATAGAGTCAGGGGGTGGGCAGCGGCTAACGTCAAGTCGGGCGTGTCCTCCTACAGGCGCCCTTCGATGAAAAGTAACAGAAAGCAGATAATATTCAGCACGTACTCAAAAATACGATCAAATCGTCCCCAGACTATTTTTGTACAACAATTTTTGAATACTCCTCCTGTAGAGGGACAGGCACGACGTAAGGCAAACGAAGAAGCGGAGGGGCTTCTCGAAGGCAGGGCTTAGCAAGCCCCGGAGGCTTCTCGGAAGGCCCGAGCCTCCCCCCCTCTGCCCTCCGAAAAGACCCCCCCCGCCTTCTCAGAGGGCCGCCCCTCTTGCGCCGCCCGCGTATGGGCGCCTCCGACCAAATCCTGCGGCCCCCGGGCCCTCGACATCGTGGGCCCATGGTGGCCCCCCAAGCCCCCGAGATCGGTGGCCCAGCGTGGCCCCCGTCGTGAGCTGTGTGCGGCCATTCGGGGTCTTCTGCTGCAAGGGTGCCCTGCTCGTCTCTCCGACCGCCCCCCCCCCCGAGGGCGGGGGGGGGCTCCCGGCCAGGACCTGCCCTGCTTGTCTCCCCGATCCCCCCTCAACCAGCCAGGACCTCGGCTCCCAATTTTCGCAGCAGCGGGAAAGCTCCCCGCTGCTGCGAAAAGTGGGAGCCCAGGTCCTGGCTGGTTGAGCAGCGTGCACGCTGCACGCTCCCAGTGCCCTGGCGCTGGCGGCGTCGTGAACAAGATGACGGCGGGAAGATTCTGGCCGCGGTGGGCCTCGGATCCACGGCGCCGTCGACGGGACGGGCCACGGGAGATGGCCAGCCCCGGGCCACGGAGCCGTCAAAACGAAGAGCAGATCCAAGGGAAGGGGTCGGGACTGCTAGGGACCAGGCGTTGATCAGATCACGATGCCGGAAGACCCAGGAAGGACAAGAGGGGCGATAACGGAGGAGAGACGGGAAGGACCAGGCGCGGGTGGAGCGGGGACCTGGAGCGGGGAAGTGGAGGGGCCGAGGATCAGGAGGGACGAAGGACGAAGATGTGGGAGAACGACGAGAAGATGCAAAAGGCGAACGCATGATCTATTCCTCGACTTGCGCCCCGGAAGCCTGATCCGGGGCCCGAGTTGCCCAGAGGACGATCGGAGGCTTCTGATGCGGAGGGAGGAGGGATAGCCTGGGATGGAGAACGTGACGAGGGAGGGCGATCATGAGGAGAAGGGGGGGAAGAAGGAGCGGCGCCTTAGAGCGACACCTTGGGGGGGGGGGGATTGCACACGTCAGGCCGCCCGCCACCTCAACCGCCCCTGCAGTCGCGTCGGGCACGACGCGGGGCCGCGCCGCCAGTGACTCGTGTCGCTGGCGGCGGACCCCTTCTCCCAAGTTCAGTGTTCGTGCTTGTGACGGCGCGCGCGTGAGATCGAGGTTGGCAATGCTCAGAACGCGCGCTGGTGCCGACGTGTGCTCGCACCGAAGCGCTTCCATACGACGCAGGCTGCGCGATGCGAGCTGGCACAGGCTGGGTGTGCTGCGTCCCTGTAAGGCCGAGCGGGGTCATCACGCACAGCTAATGGAGGGGAGCAAGCAATGACATAAACATAAAAACTCGGAGGTCCGCGCGGACTCCTCTGGTCGGCGCTGAGACCCTCAGGCGCCGCCCCTGGCGCGCTCCGCGCGCCATGGAATGGGTCCAGCGCCGATCCGAGGAATCCGCGCGGACCTCCGAGTTTTTATGTCAATGCAATTTCTTTTTGCCCTATAGTGAATTGGCCAACGCGCGTCGTGAGGATCATGGGCGAGAAAGCGCGGGGCTGATTACGATGATGAAAAAACGGATCATGATTATGATTATCATGCGTATCACTATGATGGTAATGCTGATGATGACGCTGAAGACTAGGATTATCATGGTGACGATGACCATGATGATGATGGTGGTGATGATGATGATGACGATGACGATGACGATGACGACGACGACGACGACGATGACGATGACGATGACGATGACGATGACGATGACGATGATGATGATGATGATGATGATGATGATGATGATGATGATGATGGTGGTGGTGATGATGATGGCGAGGGCATCACGCGTCGTGAGGATCATCGGCGAAGAAGCGCGGGGCAGCCCCCGCGCTGGAGGCGAGGTCGACGGGGCAGCGCGCGCTCCGGGGCGCAGGACCCCGCCCGCCCTCGCGGGAGCATGGGGGCGGGCGGCGTGCGGCCACCCTGCAGGCCTGAACACGTGCCACTGCTCGGACGCCCATTCCCCGTGCTTGGTGTGGCCCCACGTTTTTGTCGAGGCGACCCAGATGTTGCAAAAGTGTTTGGTCCAAGATGGTGCAACTCTTGGTCCAGGTGTCAATGCGACCCAGGATGGCCCAAGATGGTGCCGATTTTCTGGCGCTGGCCTTGCCTAGCAAAACTGTACACGTGCGAGCGATGCCAAGAAAAACGCCGAGCAAAGACCAGATAGGCTTGTCTAGCCACGGCGACCCTCGACCACGCAAGGCTTCCTCGGGCTAGATCTGGGGCGCGGCCCAGAGACCAGGGCCCCTCCTCCTGCACGCAAAAAACGCACTTCGCAGTTCAGCACGTTGACTGTGTGATAGTACTTAGGGCCTCCCAAATCGAATCTGAGCAGATGGGGTCGGAGGATCGCGCCGCATCGGCGATGCACAGGCGATGCGTTGGCGATGTCGGCGACGCATCGGCGACGCCGACATGGAGAAAGGCGGATTCCGCACTAGGCCTTACGCCTCAGGCCTTAGGCTTTCGGATGTAAGCTTATGGCCCAAGCCCTAGCCTCCGGCCTTTGGCCTGCGGCTGGGGACTAGGGCCGCCCGGGGAAGCTCCTGGGGAACCGTCTGCGCAAGCCTACAAAGGACGTCTGCAGGATGGGCCGCGCGGAGGGGGGGGGGAAGGGGGAGGAGGGAAACCGCCCAAAAGCACTGGCCCAGACCGCAAGTCGGAGAGCCGCGGAGGCGGGGGTGGCGATGACATTTAATTATTTATATATATATATATAAGATTAATCATTGCAAGACCCTCAATACACGAACTACCAAGGCCAAACTGTGCTGAGTAGTGGCGTTAAGAAATCTACTGCGCGGGCCCAAGCCATCAAAATCACATGAGAAATCCAACGCGCGGACCCGGGCAATCATAGTTGTAACGCATTGCGAACAATTTTCACATATTCGATCCTGGTCTAATGCCTGGCGATGCTCACATGATCTCACCAATTCCAATACGTCCTGCACAACTCAAAAGCATCTTAACCCGCATTATCGGGTTTGACGCAAATTCCTTTCGTGGGCACCTTCAATCAGCTTCCTGGTGTGGCGGATTTCAGCAGCATTCCTTTTGTTGAGGATTACAATGAGACTCCGTTTGTGGGGGCGTACAATAGGATTCCTATATTACAGTAGCACTCTCTGTGGAGGATTCCAATATAATGATTTTTGTGCCAGGGATTCCTTGGGTGGGGGATTACACTCCGATTCCTTCTGTGGAAGATGACAATAGGATCCCCCGTGGAGAATTACACTAGGATTTCTTAACAGACTTTTTGTTTGGTCCTACAAGTTGACTTGCTGGATGACAATAGAATTCCTTTTGGTGGAGGACTAAGATATGACTCTTTTTAAAAGGGATTACAATCGGAGTTCTCCTGTCGAGGCTAACAATAGGATTTCTTTCGTCGATTGCTGCATCGGATTCCTTGCGTGGAAGATTTCGCCAATACTCCATTCGTCGAGGCTGACATTCGGATTCCTTCCGCAGAAGATTTCACTAGGACTCATTGTGTGGAAGATTACAATAAGATTCCTTGCGCGGAGGATTACAATCGGATTCCTTTGAGGAAGATTACAATCGGATCCCTTCTGTGGACGGTTGCTCTAGGATTCCTCATGCGGAGAATTACAATAGGACTCCTTGTGTAGAGGAAGGCTCCCTTTGTAGAGGCTTGCGATCCGATTCCTTCTGCGGGGGATTACAGTATGATTCTTTTTTCGACGATAAAATTCGGATTCCTTACGTAGAGGATTGCAAAATGATTCCATACATGGAGCATTAAAGCCGATTCCGTTTGCGGCGATTCTCCCGCTGGCGGAATGGCCAGGAGATTTCGCCGGAGATTTGTACCTGAAGAGGGCTTCCCAGAGATTTCGCCGGAGATTTCGGTGGAGACTTGGCAGGGATGTCTAACCGCGGGGGATTTGTCAGGAAAATTCCTCTGGAGATTTCGCCAGGGGGGTCTGCTGCAGGAGATCTGAGATCTGAAGGGGCCCCCGCACCGCTGCCAGAGATTCCGGGGGAGACTTTTGCAAGATCCTGGGGGAGTTTCTGGAACCCCTCTAAGTCTAAGTCGACGCGATCTAAGACTATCGCAGGAGACCTGGGGACCTCTTCCCCCAGGCACATGAGCCAGGCTGGTGCGCACCCACTGGACAGACACCATCTCTCCGCGAGGCCACCTGGGGGGCCGCGCCTGTGGAGGCAGCACTGCACCCCGGAGCGCTGCCGCCAGCTTGCCGCCGAGGTGTCGATTAACCATGGAGGGGAATGGGCCCTTCCCGCCGAGATGAGAGGGGGGGAGATCGGGGGGACGCCGGCCTGAGTCGGCGATGCATCACCGACAGATCAGCAAAAATGAGGCTCCCGATATCGGGGATGGGCAGAACCCCCTTTAGTAAAACGTGGTTAAGTGAGAAAGACCTCGGGCCCAAACCTGGCGGGCGCGAGCCTGGAACTTGACGGCCGCGGCGCCCTCTCGAGAACCGAAGACGGACAATTCACTACTGTGTCAGGGTGGGGGTTCTGTCCACCCTTGGCGATAGCAAGTCGCAGCGGTCCTGGGCGGGTAGGTTGTCGGACCTATATCGATCCCCCCTGAGCCTATGCACCCGAGCGTTGCCCCTCAAAGGGGCCTCTTGCCCCAGGAGGCCCCGAGAGAAGCTGGCGCGGCGTTGTGCCTCGATCTACGCCGTCTCTTTCCCGTGAGGCCGCTGACGACGAGGCCAGGACCACGACTCAAACGCTCTGAGGGCATTCCGGAACGCTCAGGAACGACTTCACACTTCAAATCATTACGATGCCAAGACTATGATTAGGATACTTCGTCTTGCCACGCGCTGTGGGTGAGCATTCGGCAACAACGTCCTCTACAAAGTGGCCCAGATTTGAGTGGGTATGGCCTTCCCCCTGCTAGCACGCGCGCGCAGGAGCAAGGAAGGAAGGGGAAAGGAAAATACTTCCTGACTGCACGGCGCCCCATTTCAAGGAGCCCGCGGTGGACACGAAAAGGACTGGGATCGGACAAAACTATTCGGTCCCAGCCCCGCCGGGCCCCCGCCGACCCTCGGAATAGAGCGCAAAGGCGCCCGCGGCGGCGCTTCGTTCCTCCCGGATGGTGGTCGGGTCCACGACGCCCATGGTGAGGGCGGGTTTCAGCAGCTTCTGCATGATGTCCTCGGGGGCGGCGACGGAGGCGGGGAGGACAAGAAGGGGGAAGGGCGCAGAGAAGGAGGGGGAGGAAGAGGAAAAGGGAGAGGAGGAGGAGGTGGAGGAGGAGGAAGAAGAGGAGGAGTGGAAGGGGCAGGGGCAGGGAGGGAGGAGGGGGCGGCGGCGGCGGGGAAGGAGGGATATCGCAACTGCTCGACGAGTCGAAGTCCGTCTGGCGCGAGGGTCGCAAGCGCCTTTCGCGCCAGCCTCATATGGTGAAAGGTATCGGTGTACCAACACGGGTGGGGGGACTACCCTCCCCCCTTGCGCGGTCTGTGGGCCGAATGGAAAGCAGAAGCGCGACATGGCGATAAGGGCGAAACTCGGCAATTCTGCACACCCGCAAACAGGAGAGACGCCGACCGTACACACGCTATGGCATGCGTGATACGGCCCCCTGACAATAGCAGCGCCGCTGTGGAACAGCCCCCGCAGCGGACCAACAAAAGGGCAACGGAACCGGGGCCAACAATTCACCGAACCCACTGGGCGGAAAGGGCGTTAACACTGGTGTGCCGCGTGTGAAACAGCAAAGAAGACCTGTAGACTGTAATGCAGGGGCGCCGCTAAGGAAGCGGCAGGCTGGAAGGCCTGCTGCAAGCCGTCCCGGGCCGCTTGTGCTAGGTGGAACGGTGGAACCTGTCAAGCACCGGAGTTGACTGTTCGTGGACGTACTGGAAAGATTGGGCGAAGTGGTTGGCTCGCTGGTGCGACGCGTTGATGCTAGCGACGAGGCCCGATTCACGGTCAGCGTCAGGCTATCGCGTAGCCGCCGAGCGGTGTTGCGTGAGGGATTGCCAACGGTCGAACCGCTGGATGCGCGAAATGCCGTGCCCTGTGCCGGCGGTGTTTGGCCGTTCGCTCTCCCCGTGCCCTGGTGGGAAGAGGAGCTGGCCTGGTGGTGGGGGCTGGTGAAAGTGGTCATGACGCGGGGATCGCAAGCCGCCTGGTCATTTACGTGAAAGGGTCTGGATTGGCGCGCCGCGCGCAGGTCAGCGCGGTTGACGCGCTCGTCGTCGTCGCCGCCGTCGTTCATGGAGGCACCGAACCAGAGCGGATCTAGGTTGCGTCCATCGAGGTAACCGAGCTGGCCCTATCTCGGATCGTCGAGGTAGTCGACGGAGTTCGGTCTCAATGGGCCGTCTGGGTGGTCTGGGCCGCCTGGCGTGCATAGTGGCTCTTGCCCGCCATGGCCCGCGGTGCAACGATTGGGCTTCATTCTGCTGAACTGTTCTTCTGTCAGGCAGGGGGGCACCTGGCGAAGTCGGTCGTGGATGGAGACGGCTGCGCGCGGGAGGGACGCAGCAAACTCATGTCGTCACTTGGCGTCGTCGATGAGACATTGTAGAAGGGTGCGCAGGCGCGCGCCCGCAGTCGGCGTGGCGGCCGAAGGACTCTGCAATTGGCGCGACGCGCCCCTCGTCGACGCCTCTGTGGAAGGTTTGGAGGTCTCGCAGCTCATCGGTTCTCGCGTCGAGACTGGCGTCTCGCCGAGCTCGCCTTCTGAGGCCGAGCAAAGCCCCCCGCCTTGCGATGGCGCCCAGTTCGAGGGCGCGCCCAGGAACGGCGAGGACGCGGAGGGCCCACTGCGAGATCCAAGATCTCCCTTTGGGCCCGATGGCCTCGAACGCGGCGTTGTAAGAGGTTCCCGGCCCTCTGGCTCTGCGCTTGAACGTCTGCGCCAGCGGCGCGCGCGCGCTGGCCGCGAGGGGCCAAACGCAACATGATTTCATATGGGTGCCTTCGGGGGGCCGTCCGACGCGCGACACTCTGGCGGCGGCCCGTCGTGCCCTGGCGTCGGTGGTGGCCTCGAGATTCACCGTGGCGTCGACTGCAACAGATGCAACGTCAGTGCCCGTTTCAACTGGCGGCGAGCTTGCCGCGGCTGCCCGTGGAGCAGAGGGAGAGCCACCTGGCGGGCGGGCTCGCTGGCGGTGGAGCTCTGCGCCCGCGGCCCAGCTGACCGCGTCCTCGGGGTGGGCCTTTCGGCCAGACAGCCCGTCGAAGGGGGGGGGGGCTCGACGAGTTGCAATTGGATCTCCTTGGCCGCGGGGGGCGCCGAAATGCCGTCGTCGGCGCATCTTGAAGGACTCACTGAGCGAGGCGAGCGCCGGCGCCGTCGCTTGGCTCGCGCGCGCACCAGGAGTTCAACGTCGCCGGGGGCGACAGAGATGCCTTGGGAGGCAGCCGTTGTCGCGGGCCAGAGGTCTGGATCAGGCCCCGCCCATGCAGATGCATCCCCGGCGATTGTCTTGGAAATGCCGCGCGGCTGCGACTATGTCGGGCGGGCGCCCGAGGTCAAGGCGGATGTCCGCGCCGGGGTAGTCGAAGCATTTCTGCCGGTCCGACGCCGCCCCTGTCAGGGGAACTTCGAGATGGCGCGCGCGCTCGACCTGCGGCGCCAAGGTCGCGCTGACGCGCCATGTAGCGGCGCGCGGGACCGCCCCCAACTGGCTCGGCGCGTCTACTGATCTCTCCGGGCAGTCGGGCTTCGGGGGGCTCGTACTTCCCAGGCGTGCAACCAAGTGAACTTGACGAAACGGAGCTGTTGGTCCGCGGGGAGCTCGACACCTCCTCCCCGCAGGAATGAGTCCGGGGCGCGCGGGGGATGCTCGGCGACTCGAGCCATGAGTCGCATGGCCCATAATGCTGTGACAAGAAGGCGGAGACCTCGGTCAAGGAACGCGCAGGCCTCCTTTGCGGCCCATTCACCCACGCCCCCGGCCCCAGCGACGGGGCGGGCGCTCATGACATGGACGAAAGCCTTGTCACGAACAATTGGGCTGGCGCCTGCGCGAGGAGCCCCTGGTGGCGCTCCGCTTTGCAGAACTTCCCGCGCGAGGGGGGCTCTGTCGGAGCGGTGCCCCGCGCTTCGGTTTTTGCCCAAAATGGGTCTCCGCGCGTCTACCGTGAATTTGAACGTGGATCTGGCATCGTTCAGGAAGGCGTTCTGGTCCGGCTCCAACGGCGCGCGCTCGTCTGAGTCGCATCCGTTTATCCGACGCGGAATCGCCTGGGGCGGTGGCGGGCGCATCGCTGCGCGCCGGCGCCGTCTCCACAATTTGCATGGCGATTGCCCGTCGTCGCCTCGCCCCCGCGAGTGCCCGGCGGCGTGCGCGGGGCACTGCGATGCGGGGTGAAGGTCGAAGGCATTGAACATGTCGACCGCGTTTTCCCGCTGGCTTTTCGCCCTGCTTCCGCCTCCACCTCCGGCTCGCGCGCGCGCTGTCCAGGCGCTGAGGCGGATGAGTTTGTCGGCGTCTCAGCGCCTCCTGAGCTGCGCGCAGGCGGGCGCCGCGAGGTCGTGGAGTCGGAGGTCGGCGGGGCGTTCGTCGCTGGGCGCGCGGGGCCACCGTCTGGCCGGCGACGCGGCGGCGTTCGGCGAGGTCGAAAGCCGCGGCCCAGGTGCTCCCCATCTGCGACCAGAGGCCAGGGTGGCCGGTGCCGCGGGCGCCACGGCGTCCATGGCGGGGCGCCGGGCGCCTCTTCACGGCCCCACGTAGCCGCTGTAGCTCGTCGGGAGCGACGGCGACCCCGCTGGCCGCTCCGCGGGCGGCGCGGCGCAGGCGACTTGGAAGCGCGGCGCTCCATCGTGCCTTGCGGGGTCGTATCTCCAGTCGCGCGGCGGGCGCCCGCCGTGGAATCCCGCGCGGCACGCGCGCCGCTTGGTTTGCTGGGCCGAAGATCTGGTCGACGCCGCCGACGGCGTCTGCCGCGCCCATCCGCGCGAGGACAGCCGGCTCGACGCGGTCTCGAAGAGCTTGCCGCTCATCCGGGCCCATCGTTGATCAGGCCAGCGGGCGGGGCGCCGCCGCCCGCAGCCCCTTCGCAAAATGCAGGGCGGCATCGAGGTCGCGGGGGCCCGCGGGGCAGAGGCGCCGCTCGGCGAGGAGGTCGCGCGCGAGGGCGAAGTTGGCGACGTGCTGCCTCGCTTCAGAGACGGCCGCGATGCGGTCGATGGGAGATCTCCCCGCGCCAGCGGCGCGTCGGCCCCCGTCGACGTCTGGCCCGCGCGGGGCCGGGGGGGGGGGGGGAGTGAGGAAAGTCCGGCCCCCCTGGTCGCAGTGGGCATCCATGTATATGAAATACGGATCGCCCCTCGCCGAGTTGGCGGCGCCCCAGACCTGCCTGAACGGGCCCCGCCGTCGCGGAGACTGGCGCTACGAGATGCCTTCGGCGTCCATGCGCAACGATGCGCGCCCCGACGCGTTTGGCGGACGCGGGTCGCGCCCCGTGGCCGGCGCCCCAATCCGCGCCCTTGGCGCCGGGCGCAGCCGCCAGCTGGGCCGCGACCGCATGCTGGTCGCCAAGATCCGCTTCCTCGTGAGTGGGCGCTTCGGGCGACGGCATGGACGCGGCAAGCGGGGCGGCGAGGTTCTTCGACGGCGCCGGCGCGGTGACCCTGCAATGCCCCCGAAGCTTGGTGAGCGCGCCCCAAATGGCGTCGAGGCTGGCGACGCCGGCGCCGGCGAGATGAGCCGCGCGCGGGCCGTCTCCGTCAAAGAAGGCGGGGTCGCCTGTGGCTTTTCGGAGTTGCCGCAACCCAGTGCCCGGCAGGGCGCGGCCTTTGGCGGGCCGCCCACTGGGGGGCAGAAGGCCCGAAATTGTGCCAGGGGGGGGTCGATGTGGGATCCCGCCGCGAGGGCCTCAACGCGCCTGGCAACTGCCGGCGGAAGAATTGACGGCGGGGGCGTCGTCGCCATCGCCGCTGCCTGGAAAAAAAGCAACATCCGAGGCGACAGAGCGGCCGCGCTTGTAGCTGGCGCTCGGGCGCGGCCGCGCGCGCGCGGGCTTGCTCCGCCGCCTCGATGTCCTCGACGATGTCGATGACCTCGCTGCCGTCGTCGAAGTCCACCTCCGAATCGTCGCGGCTGGCCTCCTGCGGGACTTGGCTGGCACATTGGCTGTTCAGCGCCTGTTTCGGTAGAGGAAGTCCTGGGGGACAACCGAGCTGGTTGTGTGGCCTGCGCGGTCTGTGCGCAAGCGCCACGGTCTCGCTGGTTTCGGGCACTGGTGGGGGGGCGAGACGTTGCCGCGCCCGGGGCCCTTGAACCCACGGTGGCAGGTGGTCCTGGCGTGCTAGGTACACTGGTCCTCGAACGATGCGCTCTTGCTGCCGCCGCGGAGCTCGCGCTCGGGCTGGCGCCCCCTTGCGCGGCGATGCCAGCGATGCCTGCGTGCGCAGCGAAGCTGTGAGCCTCGCTCGGCGGGATGATGGGCTGTTCGCCGGGCGTTTTGGCCTGGCACGCAGCGTTCCCGAAGGTTGCTGACCGCGCCTCGCCGGGATATCCAAAGTGTGGAAGATCGCCCGTAAGACCGCCCTTCTTCGTATCGGGCCACGCGCCTTGGAGCAACGGTCTGCGGCAGTACTCCAGGCGGGCTCTTGGTTGTCGACCTCTGGGGCGCGCATTTGGTGACCACGCTGTGCGATAGTGGCCTGGGTGGAGTGGCCCTTTTCGGCGGCCGCGACGGTAAATCGGATGACGTTCCCCTTCCCTGGGTTTTGTGGCGTCTGGGTGACGAGCACTGGCGGTCGAGTTCGTCCCTGTTGTGTTTGGCTACACCAAAAGGGAACCATTTGGGGTCGCGATTGCTGCTCACCGTCTGCGTTGGCGGTGGCTGTTTCGCTCGAGGTGCCGTCAATCCCTGGTGGCGGGTGGTTTGGTTGGTCGGGTGTGACCCGAACACGTCCTTTTTGTCACGCCTACCTTGCAAGGTGACAAGTGATCACGGCGCGAAGCATCAAGCATGCGAAACCCTGTTGCGGCCCTGTCTTGGCTCTTCGCCGGTCCCGTGTGCCTGCTTCCGGATCGCAACTTGGCTTTGGGTATGCGGGTCGCGGCCCGGACGGACGAGAGCGGCGAAGCTTGGCCCCTGGAGCCTTTTCTGTCAGTAATGAACGACACTGGCCCTCGCCAGCGGGTGGCAAGCGTCCCTAACCGTTTGGCTGAAGAGACGGAAAGTGCCTTGTTGCCGTTGTTGGATCATGACAGGACGTCGAAGACGAGAGACTGGGGATGCAACGGGGTTCCACGCCAACGGGGTCCGACGTCGACCCATACGGCTCTGTCTCTATTGACCTAGATGGCACACAACCCCATGGCTTGATGCACTGGCACGGTTCTCACTTGTTCCTCGGTGAAGCCTGAGCGAACGTACCTCCAGGGTTGCTTTGCCTGCTCGGACAAGAGCACAACGGGAGGGACGGGAGGGGGAGGAGAGGATAAATGCAAGGAATGGACGGAACATGGGGAGAAGGGCGAGGAACGCAGGAGGAACCGGAAGACTGGAGGGACGAGGGGGGTGGCGGGGAGGATGGCAGGAGTGGCGGGAAAAGGGGGAACGGAGAGGAACAGGAAAAGGAGACGAGGAAGGACGGGACCGGGGAGAGAGGATGGAACGTAGAGCGGGGGGGGGGGCGGATACAGGGAGGGATTGAGGGGAAGGCGGGCGGGCTTCGGCAGCTTGTCCATGATCTCATCGGGAATGACTGGGACGAGAATGAGGAGGAGGGCGAGGGAGGAAGAAAGGTGGTCTGGGGAAGCAGGGGAGAGAAGGATCATGAGCAGGGAAAGAGACGAGCAAGGGGAACAACGGGGGGGAGGGATAGGAAGGAAAGGGGGAAGGAGGAGGAGGCGAAGGAAAGGGAGGACAGGAGGGGAGGAGGGCGGGCGCCGGCAGTTTTGTCCGCAGCGTCCTTGGGGTGGATGGGGTCGAACACGGCGGTCGCATCCTGCAAGCTGGGAATTATCTTACACATGCTCATTCTCCTGCTCCTACTCCCAATCCCACTCCTACTCCTCCCCGTCCTCCTTGTCCACCTTGTCGTTCTGCTCCTCATCTTCCCTTTTCTCTGCTCGATTCTCCTTTGGGATCATTTTCACCCTCCTCTTACTCCTCCTTGTCCTACTCTCCATCTCACTCCCATCCCCGCAACATCCGCATCCTCCCCCACCTCACCTCCTCTTTCTCCCCAACATCTTCCTCATCCTTGTATCGCCCCTAAACCGCATGGACCAGGTGGAGCCTGGCAGCACCAACTACAACGCGCACCCTGACCACCAAACATATTCGCCCTCCGATCCTCCTGCCTTCCACCTAGGTCCTCATACAACTCGATACTCATCGATCGACCTCGTCCTCCACGGTCCTCCTTCTCCCTCGTCGTCGACGGTTTCTCCCCCGTCACCATCGATCCTCGTCATCGTGAATTTTCCCTGCCACCATCCCCATAAGCATCAACATCACCATCACCACCACCATCATCATCAGCATTCTCATCATCACCATCATCAAATATGTAAAAATGATGATTGTCCTCATCACAACCACCACCATCACCATCACCATCATCATCACCAGTATCATTCTGAGCACCATCCTCGGTTGTCATCCTGGCCCTCCCCCCATCGCTCTGTCCGTTAAATCCAAGCTCTGCGTCGCAACGTCGTCAGATGTGTCGGTAGGGCTGGCTGGGCGTTTCGCCTGAAACTTCCCAAACATTTGTTATGCCACGCCGCAAACGCCCTCCTATTTGTGGCCATGCTGCGATACAGCATTGAGCATTCAATCTGCTTCCATCCCCTCACAAGGGGCTGTGTCGACACCAAACGAAAACGCGCGCGGACATGGGTCCCTAGCTCGCTGAAGCTCTTTGTCGGCAAACTTCGAAAAAAAGCCGGCCAGGTAGATACCGGCACAGTCAGGGAGGAGGAACTCGACGACGAACCAAGGGGGTGAGACGGCAAAACGACAAGAGACCGAGCGACAAAATGTTGCCAGAGAGGTGTCTGTAAAAGCGTTGCGTGTGTGCGCTCCCGCCGGTCCAACTGATCACGTATAGAATCAGGACTCACACGTTAAGGAACTAACCGGTTCACTGCGAGAATAAACAAAGACAGCACGATGCGGGCCAAGTGAAACGTTGAAGCAACAATGAGACGCGCGGGTCCCCTGCCCCGCAGGAGAGCTCGCCTGCGTCCCGCAAGATGGGCCCAAACCACCAAAGGGCGCCTGAAATCGGGTACCGAAGCACGGGCCTGTCCAGGAACCCAGCTGCGCAACGTCCCGCACCAAACACTTGGGCTGAATTCTGGAGCCGGGGTCGACGTCAGAACAGGAGTCGGAGACGGAGTCGACGCCGGAGTGTCGCTGGAGTCGGAGGCGGGGTCGGGGCCAGAGCGGGTGCCGGAATGCAGCTGGAATTGATGTCGTAGCCGTCGTCGACCGCCGGAGCAGTAGGCGTGAAGGAGCCTGTGGCGGCACTCGGGGTGAGCGCGGGGGTCGGCGGCGAAGAATTCCTGCGCATTCGAATAGGAGTCTCGGTAGGCTCCTGCGTATGGGAAGGCTGCTGGTGGTCGTGGAGGGGGAGGCGTAGGGAGATCGGGTGGGGCAAAGTGTATTCGTTGTCATTTCGTGGAGCGTGTCTGAGTCGTGTCGGCTATGGGGGTTGGATGTTGATGTCGTGTCCGGGTGTAGTGCTCTGGGGCTGCGTGGGGCAATCTGTCGGGAGGTCTTGAACCTGGAGTCTCAAACAGTTACACGGAATGCACAACACCACGCAATGCAAGTCGAACGCCGAAAGGCGCGTAAACGCACCTAAGACATGCAATGCCAGTTCGCGCCAGCCCTCCAGCCTGACTCAAAATGCATGTTCTTTTCTATTACAGCGGCGTGTTCGGTAACCTTACAAGCCCATTCGGTCATCGGGCTTCCAACCCGCGTCACGAACAGTTCAGTGGCCGACTTGCGCGTTCCATGAAGGCAAACTGTTAACAAGCAAAATGCATATTGCTCTCGCTGTAGCGCGTCGTGCATTCGTCTTGAAAGTTGTCACCAGTGCGCGAATGCAAAGCAGAGGGTTTCCGATGTGCGGCTCTCGCCTGAGCGTCGCGCGCACCAGTTTAAAAATTCCATGCATATACATGGGTAACTGTCTCGTGGCTGTCACACCTAGGCTGCCTTTTGCGACGCCCTCAATCAGAATATCCAGAAGAGTAGGGCTGCGCAACGATTACGCGGATGAAGGGCGGTTCCGTTCAACATGGGGCCATCGCTTGAGGTATCCGCAAAATCCAGTGATCAACATTCTAAACTTGTGCAGGATTGACCAGGTGGAGAGCGCTTCATTCTCATAGCGGGGATCTGAAAGATTTGTCATGGATCTACACAGCGACTTCTGTCGCATCTTCTACAACATAATGATGTGGGGCAGTCCCTGTTCAACGCGGAGCTTTCGCCTGAATGGGAGGCCCATGGATCGCTTGTTTTTCACGGGGGCGCTTCCTGCAGTGAAAAGAAATGCATATAGGAACGAATGAGGATGCGACTTGGGTCGGGGTGTATTGCAGCATCCTATATGCATTCTTGGTTCACTCTGGTACTCTTCCTCAAGTGTCCTCAAAAAACATGAGGTACCATCAGACAGTCGTAGACCTCTCTATATGCTTCCCTCCTCCTCAAACTTTATCTGCTCCTCCTCCTTCTCCTCCTCCTCCTCCCTCGTCCTGGGCAAAGCATACGGAATAACTGAATCAACTATACCCAGACCGCTCTGGGGCGTTGCACTAGACCTTACGTGTAGGATAAAACGTAGCAGAAGAACGACCGCACCAAAAGTGCAGTTGGTCTACATGTTCAGGTGTTTTTACTCTCTGGACCGCCTCGGCATGGGGTCCTCCTGCTTCCTCGTCCTCGTCGACCTCCTCCCCCTCCTCCTCCACCCCTCATCCTCCTCCTGAACCTCGCCTCCTCCAGCTCCTCTCCTTCGCCAGAAGCAAGCAGCTCATCCCCAGGGTCAGCGGCAGCTGAAGAAAACAAGCGGCTGGACACGAACCACAATACAACACATAATAAAACAAACGCCGCCCGCCCTTGACCTCATCTCAGGTAGAACGAAGCCAAGACTAAGACAAAATCAGACCGGGACAAGTCGGGGATGACGCGCTCGTTCCAAAGCGGTCCAGGGATCTCTGTGAGCATTCCAGAATCTAGAAGAACGCATGGTCCGAGCCCCACCCGGATAAGACGGGAGAGGAGTAAGAGACGCGCGGGAAGCGAAGGATCGGGTGTTGCTAGAAGTGCCCCTGGCCCAAGGTGCCCCCAGCTTTTCGCACTATTTTGGAGCCCCTGGAGCCCCCTGGGCCTCGTGAGGGGTGCCCTGGAGGCCGTCTGGGCCACCCCGAGAATCCTGGGGGTACCTTGGGCCAGAGGTACTTTTCTAGCAACACCCAAAGGCGGCGAAAGAGGCGCCGGCTCGCGCTGAAATGCGAAGTGCTGACTGCTGCCCCCCCTCGAAACAATATTTCTGCGGGGATCGGAGTCCACAGCGAGATATCGCGGGCGCATGCTCAACACCCCCCCTGACAATACCTTAGTCCGCAACGAAAACCACTCAGCGCACGGGGGGCCCGATCTGGATGTGAGAAAGCAACAGGCGATAGGAGAATCCTAAATACGCGAGAATGATGTAACATCATTCACGACTGCTCAAATGACATCACACTTACCCCATAGATCAGGAGACAAAGACATAAAACAAATTAATCCAATTGGGCCTTGCGTAAATTAGAACCTGATCCCGAACGACATGAAAATGATCCAGGAGAATATGACAAGAAACCCGCGACAGTTTGAGCATAATGCAAGTACTGATTGCCAGCTCGTACCCCAGAAAGTGGGTTATTGCACGTTCGATGTGCAATACTCCAGGTGAACTCCCTGGAGAATAAATTATCCCAGTGCGACCCTACCTAGGAATTGGAGCCCCTAGGAAAGCAGCATTAGTAGTAACGGTAAAGCTAAGCAACAGCTGAGCTAAAGCTCAGCTAAAGCTGAGCTAAAGCTCAGCTAAAGCTGAGCTAAAGCTAAGCCAAAGCTGAGCTAAAGCTAAGCTAACGCGAAGCTATATCTAAGCTAAAGCTAAGCTGAAGCTAAGCTAAAGCTAAGCTAAGGCTAAGCTATAGCTAAGCTAGAGCTAAGCTAGAGCTAAGCTAGAGCTAAGCTACAGCACAGCTAAAGCTAAGATAAAGCTCAGCTAAAGCTCAGCTAAAGCTCAGCTAAAGCTAAGCTAAAGCTAAGCTAAAGCTAAGCTACAGCTAAGCTAAAGCTAAGCTAAATCTAAGCTACAGTTAAATCTAAAGCTAAGCTAAAGCTAATGCTAAAGCTAAAACTGAAGCTAAAACTAAAGCTAAAGCTAGGGGGCGCAACTGGGGGAACCGCTCCCAAGCAACTGGGGGAACCGCCCGGGGCGGGGAACACTGCCCGGCCCTTTAAGCCAAACGAGTAAGAACCCTTCTAGGCAGAGCCTAGGTAGGGAACTGTATTATCCAAATGGGCTGCAAATCACTGGATCTGTGTTGCAATCTGTGTGGTGCACTTACTGCCGTCTGTGGCTTGAATCTGTGGTGCAATCAAAATAACGCAAACACCAGCAAACGCCCGCGGCGGCCACGAACAGCCACTGGACAAAAACTGGGAAATGTGAACCAGGGCACAAAGAGACGCAGGCGGCCACATATCCACAAGCATGAAACGGCAATCAATTGCGCGAAACCTGACTCGGAAGCCATAGAGCGCAAACGCTGCCTGGTGAAACATGTCCCAAGGGAACCAAATCCGCACTGCCTGCAAACGATGCTGCAGACGTTCCTCATCGTCTCCCCTCGGCCCTCCTCGTCCTCATCCTCATCCCTAATTGCTCCTCCTGCTTCGGCTTCCTCGAACCTCCTCCCTCCTCCTCCTCCTCCTCCTCCTCCTCCTCCGCCTCCTCCGCCTCCTCCTCCTCGATCCTCATCGTCCCCCCGCGAACATCCGACGTCCTGCGTTCTTCACCACGTGGCTCCCCAAAAATCTGATCCTCTTCGCGGCCCGTTCGCCTTCCCTGAGCCGTGTTTTGATTGTCCCGGGGTGCGTTGGGAACCCCGTGACAGCAGAAAATTGCCAGAAACTTTCCGCCGTGATGTTCTCACGAGGCGAAGATGGCCAAGGTCGGACCTCCCCGATTGTGGACGCCTGAAATTTGTACGGAAAAAAATGGTATGAACTCAGCAACACATGTTGCCAAAAACCGATAGCGGCCATTGTTGGGCAGGCGGCCCTCTGTTTAAAATGGACAACGCCCGCGGCGACACCGACAGCGAGTCCTGTTCAAAATGAATTGGAGCTGGTGTTTGGAGGTGGCTGGGGGGTCTGAACTGGTTGGGACCCCAGAACATCGGTCAAGAGACGGAAGCAACAATCCGCTACAAATCTATCGCCGGTCCCCTCCCACGGGGTCTATCTGGTGCAGTTGCTCCACCCCGGATCATTTCTGTATAATCCCGGGGACCGAAAACGGCCCCCAGAAGCCGAAAAGGTAAACCATCTTCCCGAAGCCAGAGTCTCGAACCTGCCCGCCCGTCCTGCTGGCCAGAACCACCAGTGCTGGGCCACCTCAGACCCCAAGACGGCTCCAAAATGCTGTCTGTGTTAGTACCCATTCCTTCCGTAATGGGGTCCAGGCGGGAGAAGAAACTTTCAACCAGAGATATGGATGTTAGGATGTCTGGGTCGCGTTTTGCCTGAGACACCCTCACAATTAGAGCTATGATAAGGGCTTCGGAGGGGATAATGAACTTCGGCCACTCCGCCTGCTGTGTCAATTCAACAACATTCAATCCCGTGGATCCGCCGGCCCCCTTGTGGGGTCATCAGGCTGCGGGGATTAGGCTTCCTGCTCCCTTCACGAGTTCCAGTTTCCAGTCTTACAGTCCTGCTTTCTGCTTCCTACTCTAAATTGTTGAAGTCTGACGGGGGGGGGAGACGAAAAGGGCCCAGTTACCAGCCCTGAGTCGCGTTGTCTGAATTCCTGCGGGGCCGTGGGACACGTAACAAAAACATGCGATTCGCGCTCCCGACGCAAGAATCCCAAATCAATTGAGGTGTATTCGCGTCCCAGAGGTCACGACCCCTTGTAAATTGCCCTAACTTTCGCATCCCCGAACCCGAGATCCCCCGCAAAGTAACCCGAGGCCACGATCTCTCGTACATTACATTGCTTTCGCGCCTCTGGGGCCACGACCACCCCCGTAAATTGTGCCACAATTGCGCCCCCGAGGCCACGACCCCTATAAATTGTACAATATTCGCGTCCCCGAGGCCAGTAACATTTGCAAATTGCAAAGGCTTGCGTCCCCGAAGAAGCAACCCTTTGTACATTACTCAATATTCGCGTCTCCGAGGCCATTCACCCTCGCAAATTATATCATTTCTGTGCCCCCGTAAATTGCTTCAATTTTGTGCCACCGAGGCAACACACCGTCGTAAATTATGCCGTAGTCGCGTCCCCGAACCCCTCATCATAGATTATACTTGCAATCGTCGCGTCCCCGAAACCACAAACCATCGCAAATTGCTCAGCAGTCGTGTCCCCAAAGCAAGACAACCTTATACATTGTAGAGTGCTCGCGTTCCCGAGGTCACACATCCTTGCACCTTGCTCACTTATTGCGTCCCCGAGGCAACTAATCCTTGTAAAATATTTCAGATTCGCGTCCACGTGACCATACGCGTTCGCAACGTACGCCGTATTCGTATTGCCGAGGCCTAGGCGCCCGAAGATGGATCCAAGACGGCCCAAGAAGGCACCACGAACGCTCCAAGAGGCCTCCCGAGAGAGCCCCAAGAGGCCAACGTCGTTGATTATACAAAGGTTGTTAAAGGAGTTTGGGGTTCTCGCATGTTCGGCTTTCCGACTCTCCAAGATGGCTCAAGCAGCTCCCAAGACCGCGCGTCTTAGAGGGCCCCAAGACGGCCCGAGAGGGCTCCAAGATGGCCCAAGAAACGCTCCGAGAAGCCCCGAGAACCTCCAGGAGGCCCCAAGAGGCCCCAAGAGGCGCCGAAGACGCGCCAAAGAGGCCTCCAAGAGGCCCAAACTATACCCCACGAGGCCCCGAGATGCCCCCAAGCGGCGCCCAAACCGCCGCCAAGAGGCTCCCGAGAGGCTCTCCACGACACCCCAACACATGCACAAGAGGCCTCAAACCCACAACCCAGACACGGTGGCGCAGAAGGCCCGAAGCGGTCCAAATCATTGATGCTCCTGAAGTTTTCCGACGGGCCGCCCCGCTCGCTTGGGAGAAGAGGCTCGCGGCGCGCAACCACGGCTTCGTTTCGCTGCTATTCGAGGAATCGCAGCAGGTCGTGTTCGTGTGGGCGTGCTCGCTCCGAGGGGAACCGTGGGGTGCGATCCTGGAGATGGACGGGGGCGTGGACTCCATGGCTGTTTCGCTCCCGCTCGCGAGGCCGCTGGCGGACGCGATGGGCCCGCTCAGGGAGATCTTGGACGGGCTCGGCCGTCGTGGGGGTGCCCGCGCCCAGGAACTCAAGAGGCCTACAAGAGGGCCCCAGAACTGCCCAGGAGGCCCCGAAGATGGCCCCAAGAGGGCCCCAAGACGGCCCAAGCGGCATCCAAGACGCCCAATATGGCATTCAAGGCGGCCCTGGAGCACCCCAAGAGGGCCCCAAGTCGGCCCAGAGAAGCCCCCAAGACGGCTGCCTACGGCGTCAGACTGGCCAGGAATGCCCGAAGACTGCCAAAGAGACATCCGAGAAGCCCCCAAAGGCCCCTAAGAGGCCCAAGGAGGTACCCACAACTGCATCCGAGGCTCCCAGGAAGCCCCGAGGAGGCCCCAAGAGTGCCCCCAGAGGCTCCCCAGATGCCCCCTCCTCCTCCTCCTCCTCCTCCTCCTCCTCGCCCTCCTCCTCCTCCTTCTCCTCCTCCTCCTCCTGATCTTCCTAGCCATCCTTCACCAAGCGATCTCCGAAGGTTTTCTACAACGGCTGGGGGGAACACGTGGCCTGAAAGCTTCGCAGAGCTCTTGTCACATCGCTCGGCCACTTGGGCGATTCCAAAGGCAGGGGGCGGCGGTGGTTCGCCGTAGGCGACTTCGAGAACGCCAACGTCTCAATATGCGCTGATGATTCCTATCCGCCCCCGCATGATGTTCCCAGATGCGCCAAGGAAGCGCCGAGACGCACCGACGCGACTCTGATATATCTATACGACCACCCTTCGGGTGACAAGAAGGTTGTGGGGGGGGGGCAGAGGGGGGAAACCGACATCTGACTCAGTCGATCTCACTATCGATCTCACTCAACGGGACACCACGGGGCACTTGTCGATCTCACTATCGATCTCACTATCGATCTCACTCAACGGGACACCACGGGACACCACGGGGCACCTCTCGATCTCACTATCGGTCTCACTATCGATCTCACTATCGATCTCACTCAACGGGACACCATAGGACACCACGGGACACCACGGGACACCACGGGACACCTCGGGACACCACATCGATCTCACTATCGATCTCACTATCGATCTCACTATCGATCTCACTCAACGGGACACCACGGGACACCACGGGACACCACGGGACACCTGTCGATCTCACTATCGATCTCACTTTTTGGGACACCACGGGACACTACGGGACACCTCGGGGCACCACATCGATCTCAGAATCGATCTCACTCATCGGGACACCACGGGCCACCTGTTAATATCACTATCGGTCTCACTATCGATCTCATTTTTGGGGACACCACGGGACACCTGGGCACCACATCGATATCACGATCGACCTTACCCATCGGGACACCACGGGACACCACGGGACACCGCGGGACAACGCGAGCCACCGCCGGACGGACGGACGGACGGGCGGGCGGGGGAGAATCATTTGTCTTGACTTCGCCCTAGCAACGGTGGACACCACGGGACACCACGGGACACCACGGGACACCGCGAGCCACCCCTGGACGGGCGGGAGGGGGAGAATCATTTGTCTTGACTTCACCCTAGCAACGGCGGACACCACGGGACACCACGGGACACCACTGGACACCACCGGACACCATGTCACCACAGGACACCGCGGGCTCCTGCCAGACGGGCGGGAGGGGGAAAATCAGTTGTCTTCACTTCGCCCTAGCAACGGCGGGTTCATTCCTCTCGCGCGCCCACGCAGCTTC